AGCTTATAAGTGGTTCGAATAGGTGTCGACCGTGATGGTCATTGTAGAACCCTTTGCGCCGCCAACTCCGTTGGTCAAGCGTCATCTAAGTGGCTGCGTGTTTTTTTGTCTTCGTTCCTACTGCCTTTCCTCCTGGTCTTTGTCCTGAGGAGGAATTGAACGCTTGGGCTTAGAGTGCTGGGGAATCGTTCACTGGGTGCCCTAAACCATCGCTTTTCCTTTGGGGTAACTTACCCGTGGGCTGGGGAGAACCCCTCAGAGCGGGAATCTTGTAGAATTATTCAACGGCTCAAAAATTCTCAGGCTCTTAGTCCCCAGTCTGAGTGCTGATACTCACCCGCAGACATATAAAACATTCTGATGTCTCTGGGTTCTAGTATCCAAATAACATCAGGTAAGCCGTAGGCTCAACAGCTCATTAAAGATCATAAGCTAAGCCTACGTTGTCTTAATAACTTTTAAATGAACCGCGCGCATGTATACACGAAAAGCAAAAAAAAACAGTTCTATAAGGAAATATAAAATAGAAATGTACACGATGTAGAAACAAATATTTCTCCACCTACATTTGTATATAGACTTAACTCTTCTCTGAATAAACTACATCAAATGCTTACGTGTTACAAGTTGTGTTTGTTTTCTCATTCGCACGTGGATATTTGGATAGAGATGGATATACTATTTTGAAATGGCACGAGAAACGAACAGGATTGACGTAGTGATGTGAGAGCGTTTCCTTCGAATATTATTTGAGAATTTTTGGACTAATAACTTTATTTATTTGATTCTTGATTTAAAATAAAGGTATATTTTTAAAATATCCTACAGTTAAATTTTTAGCCATTTACAATTGCACTGAGAAAAAATTAACAAAAGAATGAACAGGTAGCTTTAATGATGGAGAAGATTTTAAAAAATAAAATCAAAAACAAATGTGCTTTGCCTAAATGTCAATCATACCTACGAGAAGAAGATAGGTTGTATGGGCTGTTTAGTATGTTCCAATCCCAGGTGACAACAATTATCATGAAATAGATTACAATGTCATAAGTCTACAAATTTGTTAAATCTGCAATTGGATAATTGATCGTCTAAGTATTGTATTGCGTTTAAGTGTTAGCATAAGCAATTGTCCCTTGAGTAACAATCGAAGTCGCGTTGTACACACATGACAATTGTATCTGAGCTCCATGACTACATGGTCTTACAAAGAGGTCACCGGACCTTAGTAAAGAAATAAATGTATTTTCTACACCAAACCGGCACCAAAAAGTGAACCACATCACCATCATTATCAAGAGCCAAGGATAGTATTTGTCTAAAAATAATAATTCGATACGAACTTTCGGATATATCACTAAATATCAGTTCAGTAGCACATCCCTATCTAGCATTCCTACTCTCAGATATATTTTATGGAGAGAGCAGAACGTTCTTTTTGCAATAGACGCCAGAAGGTGCGCGGGAACCCTTCATATTTACGATTAAATCGTGATCAGAAAATATAAAATACCTAAGTTTTTTTTTGGAGCCGATACACGGCACAGTGGGTCTTGGGAGGCACTCGAAGGTCGTTTAGTTAAAGAACAACTATTTTTGCAGTATTTTCTAAGTCTCTATTGGCTCAATGTGAAGACATTGGTCTTGGCTATGAGTTTTTAATGTTAACGATTCTTAATTATGTTTTGTTTTAATTCTTAAGCTTTATAAGGAACATATATATTTCAGAACCTTTATAAAGATAAAATGAATATTTTCTCTGTCTTATGGAATGGTTTATAGATTTTTTTAAAGAAACAATAAACTACAAACAAGTTCTTTAATATTAGGACTAAATGACGACCACTCTTGAGCTCTTAACAAGCTAGAAACTTTCCTTTTCAATCGGGGATGTATGGATCAAGGTTGATTATTCCATGCTGAGGCTTGTCGAAGGGACCATTATCCCGATTGTTATTGGTTTTTTTTCATCATCCATCGCGAAGCTTAATGTTGTAACAGAATTTATTAGCTGTTTATGAATTGTCTTTTGATACACTTCATTTCTTAGGATCTTCCCTACACTGTTTTCTTGCTTTTCAATACGAATATTACGTATGTAACATACGTACTATTTTTTGTCACATACTAAGGACGTTTTATTTTACTTATCAATAGCTCGATAAACAAACATTGGCCTAAATTCAAGCCGATGGAGTGATTCTTAAATTGCATTTGTCTGTATGCCTACTATTTGTTTTGCTATTACAAAAAATCTACTGTTTTGTTGATTATTTATCAAGTAGTTAGATATCTGTACGATCGTTATTACGATAAGATTAATTAAGGCTAATAGGCCTAGTACAAATAGTAAATTTTATACGTTTGATTTTGTTTTTATTTCCTCTATCTAATCGCTGGTAGTCTCAAGGGGCTATTAAAATTACCCGTGGTTTGGTTGGGGAGCTCACGGGGTTTTCAACTTGAGAGGACTTACCAACACTACAGAGCAATGCTTCGCTGATTATACTACCGGGTCAGAATTGTTTTCCTTCTTGATCTTTTTTTTTCCTACCTAAGCTGATAGCCTTGAGAGGCTATGTCAGCGTAACCGGGCGAGTAACTAGCTATTGTACTATACTTGAGACCTTAGAACTTATATCTCAAGGTGGGTGGTGCATTTATGTTGTAGATGTCTATGGGCTCCACTAATCACTTAACACCAGGTGGGCTGTGAGTTCATCCACCCATCTAAGCAATAAAATATATATATATATCAAGAATGTCTGTCCGACGAACGTAGGCCAATTTCTGTTGGATTCGGGCCTTCTAGAAGATATTGGTACATTTGCTGTGTTGTCTAGAATAGCAGAGGCCCGGCACTTGGTGTGTTTGTTGAAAATGCGACAAGAGGATTCACCGGAAAAGGGTAGCTACGTTTTTTGAGTATTTATATATTTTTGCGAGGCGCGTTTTCTAAGATTGCACGGGCATGTATCACCACCCAGGATTTCTACGGAAAATCACTCATGTGGTTTTTGGGCTTCAGCCGGCGGCATTGTAATATCTGTGACCCCCACTCACCACTTATTTGGTTACTCCAGATGAACCATGAGCTCGTTTCGACCTACATCCTAAGAAACTTTCGTAATGTGCTCGGAAAAAGGGCCTGCTACAGAAATCAGAATGATTCAGCCGTTCAACCATAGGTTTCTCGTTCTGGGTCCCAAACCATCAGCTACAACCAGTTTATCGAATAGTTATTTTTGAAAAATGAATTATAAAAAGATCAGGAAATAATTTAATAAAAATAAAAATATTATTCTCCAATACGTTTTCGTGTTAAATTTATTTCCACCTCTAAAAAATTTGACAGCTCCGTGTGAACATCATTAATCCGCTTCTGTTGATAATTAATTTGACCTTTATTATTTGGACAATCATATTATTTCATATTCATAGTTAGGTATTTCGGAATTCATTCCTTGTGAGCAGAGCTTGGAAGCAGACAGCCTACCTGATTTTAAGTGATCACCCTCACTCCTGGACAGGATTACTAGGGATACAGAAACCCCTATTGCTGATAGCAACTGGTGGTAGGACCTTTTGTGAGTCCGCGCGGGTGGGCACCACCACCCTGCCTATTTCTGCCGTGAAGCAGTAATGCGTTTCGGTTTGAAGAGTAGGGCAGCCGTTGTAACTTACTTGAGACCTTAGAACTTATATCTCAAGATGGGTGGCGCATTTACGTTGTGGATGTCATGGGCTCCAGTTTTTTGATTGACGGATTACTGGTGGCCCGGAGGCCATTCCAGTTTCACCAGGACAGATGGGCCAGCAAAGGCTCAACCAGGAGGGATGAGATTTGCTAACAGTTGCCCGAGCGCTTCCGAAGGAGATCTAACAGCTTAAGAGCAGCTGCTTCGCGAATGAATCTACTACCGCATCGGAATCGCGACCCGCTGAGAAGATCCGGCGAGAAACACAGTGGGCTGATGCATGTCGACCTCTTTGTCGAGTTCGAGGAGTACGGTTAAATTTTAATATACTTTGGCGAATGCAGTCGTTCCAAGTATTTTTAGTTCATACACACCTCTCTTGTTTTGGGCAGTGATTATAATTCTGGGCTGAATCCGATCTGACCATTTTTTAAACTACCAGAGTACTTTGGTGCATATACTAAGAAATATCGGGAAAGCTATTACGAACCTAAAATTTTACTCTCACATTGAAATTTAATGTGCATGCGTGAAACATATTATGTGTTTCACAAAACATACTAATACTCTTTTCTACTCTATTAGAAAGTAATTATAAAATATCAAAACAATAGATGCTTAGTGAGATTTCCAGTGAAGCATTAGCATCACGACACTTGTATTATGCTTTTGAATTTCCAAACTGAACTTACTAAGTTTTTTTTTTATTGCTTAGATGGGTGGACGATCTCACAGCCCACCTGGTGTTATGTGGTTACTGGAGCCCATAGACATCCACAACGTAAATGCGCCACCCACCTTGATATATAAGTTCTAAGGTCTCATGTATAGTTACAATGTCATGGAAACGTTAGTAATTATTCTACAAAAAAAGTAATATTTTACATGAAAATCACAATTGTTCAGTAAATTGCTTACATGGTACGGCATCATTACATTCGTCAGAAGATGTCGATTATCCCTAGTCATGTCGTGTGTCAGACTTTTTTGCCATAAGTAATTTAGTTGAATTTAAAATTTTTAAATAAACAGACATTGAGTAAACATTTTAATGGTGATAGGACCTCTTGTGAGTCCGCGCGGGTCGGTATCACCACCCTGCCTATTTCTGCTGTAAATCAGTAATGCGTTTCGGTTTGAAGGCTAGGGCAGCCTTTGTAACTTTACTGTGACCTTAGAACACATATCTCAATTTACAGAATAATGTAACAGGAAAAAAGGAATTTATTTTACAAAAAATAATAATAATAACAGTAATAATAAATTTTGACACAGGACAGGATTGAAAAAATAATTACGAACGAAAATTAAAATAATTGTATTCGGCATCCAATTCTTGCATGCTGCCAACTTAAGCTTGCAGTCATAAAAACGTATCACCCATACATTTTCTGTGTAGCCAAACATAAGATTGCATGCACAAGTAATTTTGTATAATTCAAGTTTGTAAATCACAGTTATTTGTATTTTAATGTCAAAAACACAAAATGAATTATGCTATTCTCAAACGTATCACTTCACTTGCGAAAGAGTTATTGTATAAAGATTTGTGAAATAATTTTGTTCTTGAATCTTAAATAGCGTTGACCGGGAAGTCTTAGTATTTTACTCAGCTTTAGTATCTGACTTTATTCTGTTCTGATTATTAATTTATTTGTCACTCTGTTACAGTACCGCTCATGGCTGTAGCATATGCAAGCCCTTTGTTTGAAATATAATGTTTTACTATGTTAGCTTCTTTATATAACTGCCTCCCAAAGTTTGTGTTTCTTACAACAAATTAGTTCTGCGATATTTGGAGTACAGATCTTTCCAGAAAGTGTACGGTCCTTCGTTAGGCAACGATCCCATTTTCAATTCATCGCCGATGTATAGGAAGTTTAAGTTGTCTTTGCTGCTTGCTTTCCATGTTGGAAGTGTTTCATCGAATCGTGGAGTGGGGTTGCTAAAAATAGTTAGGTTATTAAAAGTTTTATTCTTTCCACGGGACAATAATTTTCAGATTTCTAAAAGATAAAGATCTAAATTAAAAATGTTTGATAATTGTAATTTTTTTTTAATTGAATTTTGTGTGTGCAATAATACGATTTACTGTTTGATTTTTGGTTTGGTTTTGGTTTTTCGAATAACAAGCATAGTCCGATGCTGATGCCGTTCCCACTTCAGTTGTTTGTTAAGGGGTGACATGCACAAAAGATCCTTGGTTCCAGACTCGACAAATAGCATTATGTGTTTTGTCATGCAATCAACGAGCTCAAGAATCTCCGACTTTGTTGTTGTCATGTGGAACATGGATCGGTCACATACCAGTTGAGTTTCAAATCTTCTCTGTTACTACCAGCCTTTTTTTACAAGAGAAAATCACCGGTATGAGGGCGTTGAACCTCACCAAAAACGTTTGCCACTAACAGCCGGCGCCCTACCCCGGACCGGGCTGGCACCCAGTCGGGGCTATTGAGAAGGCGCAGAGCTTAATACATCGATACCGCAAACCCCCTACTATCAGCCTAGGTAAATTACTTCCAATTATACTAGGCAGCGGCTTGACTCTACCCCTGGCATTGCTGAAGTCCATGGGCGACCTTAACTACTCACAATCAGGTGGGCCGAATGCTCGTCTGCCTACAAAGGCATTAATTAAAAATAAATAAATAAATTATACTACTTTTCTACTTGTGAGAGGAATTACGAAAATGGCATAACACGTTCGAATATTATTACGAATGGTTCAGTCAATTCGTTCGCGATGATCGTCACGTATAGCCCCTCGTTAAGACTTACCCGTATTTTGCAAAATTTGTCCACATTTTAGTCATCCAATCAATCATGATTTTGTCTTTTTCGCTGATTTCAAACGGCCAAGCATATGCTTGAAAGAAATATAGTATGTCATCGCCATGACAGGCGCCAATTACGTCTCTAAATCCTGAAATTTGTTTGACCATATTTCTTCCCCCGGAATAGGTAAAGTAATAATTGTAAACAGAGGCATTTGTTTGCGACAATATCATCTCAGATTCCATTATGACTGGCATCTCAAAGTACAAGTGAGTGTAGAAATCAGATAAAATCATTCTTGTTTCCCAGCTTATGGTATTTTTTCCAAAATAAAATTCTTTAACTTTCGATGTAACCTCATCGGTTTCTAGATCTGACGAAAATTTGAAATCAGACCCTGTTATTTTTAATTTGTTGTTTTCAGCTAACGTTTCATTCGTAACTTCTGATACAAAAAACAGTCCTTCTTTATCGTTCGAGCCGTAGATCACCGAAATATCCTTCGGTGCATTTTTTAGTAAATTTATAGGTAGGTCAGTTATGACGGGCTCCGAATCGGGGAAGACTTTCTCGATGCAAGGTAAATGTAGTAAATTCGAAATTAAAAGTTGACCAAGGGGTTTCCCAACGGTGACATTTATCAACTCTTTGTATGGAGTTTTTGCAAATATGTCGTATAATTCTTGAGGGTCTTTAGAATCATGGCCTAGTTCCTTAGCCGTTTCTGATGCTATCATAATTGGGTCTAGCTGCAATCCCCAGTTCGCTATAGAGGATCCACTTTGCATAATGGCTTTGTGGAATAATCCTTCAGTAGCTTTACTAGCTAGTAAAAATGAAACAGATGTTGCTCCAGCGCTATGACCAAAGAGGGTAACATTGTCAGGATCTCCACCAAAAGCAGCTATATTTTTTTGGACCCACTTCAAAGCAGCTATTTGATCTTTCAAACCTGCGTTGCCAGGTGCTTCTTTAATATCTAAACAAAGGAATCCGAAAATACCAAGCCTGTAGTTAAACGTTACTAAAATAACATCATGTTTCACTAAGAAATCTGCACCAAGGAGTATTTTTCCTCCACTACCCAACAGAAAAGCGCCGCCATGTATATAGACCATGACTGGCAAAGGTCCCTTTGCCCCCGTCGGTGCATAAACATTAATGTTTAAACAATCTTCTGTTCCTACAATGCCGAAAGCTGAGGGTTGAGAACATTGAATGAACTCGTCAACTGCTTTAAATACTCCATCCCATTTTGGAGGCGGCTGTGGTGCCTGAAATAATTGTTACAGTATTTATCTTATCGTGTTCCATTAAAGCTATTGTAAATTTAGGGGTTTCAAAATTTGCAGAGAGATATGCGGTTTGCGCGAAATGTTAGGACACCTTGCCCCTCGCATATTTCGAATGGACGTCTATATAACGTTCGAATGAACGAATATTTCAGTCTTGAACGCAAGTTTTACCATGACAGGGCTTTAGTCGGTTAAATTCCAACATGCTCCGTTTACCGTTCCCAGCGCGTACGCGGAAATCGGCGGCGGCGATTTTCTCTTGACGCCCAAAAAATATTTTTTACCATAATAATAATAAAAAAATTACTGGGAACAAATCACGCACGGTGATTCGGTCCCAAATTAGGATTCCCTGTGTTATGGGTACCAGAGACTGACATATATAGGTATACTTATATATAAATTAATACGTGACGCAAACACTTTGTACCCATTTTTACATAAATTGCACGGACGGAGGAGTCTGAAATATCCCACACTTATAGAGAATATAAAGAAGAAAGAATTATGCATTAAAAATACATTGAATGAATAAAAAAAAAGCATTACACACACTACCATGTATTTGACACACACACGCATGCATACTATTTGTTTATCGTCAAACTTTTCTTATTGCTTATAGCCTGCGGTCAAATTGAAAATAGATTAAATATTGCTCGTCTTTATTAATATACTACCATGTATTTACACGTCTTTTGTTTATTGTCAAACTTCTGTCATTGTTTAAAGTCTGTGGTCAAATTGAGAATAGATTAATATTATAGTCCAATTTCGACTATTGGGGGACCACTATTATGTTTAAATATCTGCATATATAGATAATAAAAACCCAGACAAAGAGCAAATAAGCCTGTTCATCACAAGAATATTTGCTCGAAGTAGGAATCGACCGTAGGAATTGACCGCGACCACCGACTGCGTCTTTGTAAAATAAAATTTGTGTAATCAATTGAAATATTCGTTTATCACCTTGATGAATCTATTTCGAGGTTGAGATTTTACGAAAAATTTTATAAGTTTTATAAGCAGAACATATTATCTACTTGTAGGAATGTTCAATAACGGTTTTTCGTCTTTTAGTCTTTTTTCTTTTTTATAGAGTGGGCAGAACACCAGCCAGATGGTCAGATGTAGTAAGGGAAGCACTAGGTGTATTTTTTTCCCTTTCTAAGCTGATAGCCTTGAGAGGCTATTTCAGCGTAATCTTAGCTAGTAGGTGGGCTCACGGGGCTCATACCGGAGTGATGCTAACACTGACCCTAGCAAAAGCAGTGCTTCGCAGAATCTACCACCGGATCGGAAAGGCGACCCACTGAGAAGATCCGGCGAGAAATTCAGCAGGCAGAAGATCAGGCGAGAAACTCAGTGGGCCTTGGTGGTAGTCTGTACCAAGCGGATAGGGTCCATGACAGCCATGATCGAAAACTGTGGGGGAACGTCACATGTGGTTGCGATCCTCAGCAGTGAGGGAACGATTCTAATAACAATGAACTCGATTACGATACGACTCGAACTATTGTACGAACTATTATAATTCCTGCCCGCAAAAATGAGAGAGAGACCCGTGAGAAAAAAACAACAAGGACTGAAAGGCTATTTGGTTTAAGCGCTATTTCGCTTAACTCGCGACATTTATCTTTTTAATCAAAGGTCCGTTTTATTTGGTATTGATACTTCAATTAAGTTTACCCCATTCAAGAAGCTGAGGAAGATTTTTTGTTATGACTTGGAAAAAAATCCAAATTTAAAATTTTAAATGGCTCTCCTTTCACCCCTCGATGAGTTGTTTCTTAATCATAACGATTAGTACATTAAGTGTTTTATATGGGTGACATAGCACTTAATTATATTACCTGGAATCTACCGCTAATATTCGTGGTAGCGTATGGTATACCAACGTATTCAAAGAACTTCCCGTCTTTGCTGATTTTACCGGTGAGTACGCCTTGTTTNTTTAAAATTTTAAATGGCTCTCCTTTCACCCCTCGATGAGTTGTTTCTTAATCATAACGATTAGTACATTAAGTGTTTTATATGGGTGACATAGCACTTAATTATATTACCTGGAATCTACCGCTAATATTCGTGGTAGCGTATGGTATACCAACGTATTCAAAGAACTTCCCGTCTTTGCTGATTTTACCGGTGAGTACGCCTTGTTTGATGGTCACATTAGGAACTGGCTGTCCAGCTGAATTCATAACAAACAATGAAAACAACACCAAATATTTTCTACACTTCATGACGACTGGTTTGCGCAGTATACAATCATCGAATACCTACTTAATAAATCTCCGCATAAACATTGGATTACTGAGAGATTTTTTTATGGTGTCCATTTTGTAATGTGTAGGCCAAATTCCATATCCTTGACTGTGATTGAGGTAATTATCTCATCACTATAATATACATCGTAAATAGACATACAAACAAAAAATACTAAATATGGAATCTACGGTTCTGTATATTTAAAAGTGAAAATGGGTTTTGTATATAAACATTTATTGTGATAAAAAGGCTTAATATTCTTTTAAACTCATATTTACATTAAATTGTCAGCTTAAACAAGTATCAGCTTTGACCTTCGGATCAGAAGAAGAGAATGGATCAGCTTTTAGATTTTCATCAGAAGAGCAGGTTTTTTTTATTGCTTAGATCGATGAACGAGCTCACAGCCCACCTGGTGTTAAGTGGTTACTGGAGCCCATAGACATCTACAACGTAAATGCGCCACCCACCTTGAGATATAAGTTCTAAGGTCTCAAGTATAGTTACAACGGCTGCCCCGCCCTTCAAACTGACACGCATTACTGCTTTACGGCAGAAATAGTCAGGGTGGTGGTACCCACCCGTGCGGACTCAGAAGAGGTCCCACCACCAGTAATTACGCAAATTATAATTTTGCGGGTTTGATTTTGATACAGTCCCAGATAAAATCGCCATTGTACTACCACAATTTTGGCTACTTTAGATCAGATATTGCCTGGCGTCCTTAGAAAGATTATTATTATTAAACTGAGGTTTGTAAAGACACAGATATCACAAGACTAGCAATTGAAGCGCTACCTCTAGTCTTCGTTTGTTGGGAAAGGTCAATCCAGCTAATAATAATATGTACCTACTACCGAAGTTCGTGGAGTATAAAAAATGATTGATGTATAATTGCGAGTTTATTTTCGGAAATCAGCACGTAAATACATAAGACCTTTATAGGTTGTAAAATAAGTTGAGAACGATCTTATTATCTCTCAACAATCCAGGTTGCGTTTCGGTTTGAAGGGTGGGGCAGCCGTTGTAACTATACTGAGACCTTAGAACTTATATTTCAAGGTGGGTGGCGCATTTAGTTGTAGATGTCTATGAGTTCCAGTAACCACTTAATATCAAGTGGGCTGTGAGCTCGTGCACCCAACTAAGCAGCTAAAAAAAAAAGTTGTGCATTTACAAAAAACCAGCAACATCTATTATTTAAAAAAAAACGGTTTTTTATCTTATCTCTTTATCTGTGTGCACAAAATTTGTTGAAATGAATAATTTTGAACGTGTACTTTGATCCGTTGTATTGCCATAGTATACATATAGCCACAACATATAACATTTAACAATAAGCAACAACATTTAACATATAACATATTATTATTGTGTTCGGTTGTTGATAAGTGAAAAGATATGTGATGCGAACTTGGATATCTTGACCTTCCTCTATTTCCTTCTTACTTCGAGGATACGTCCATAGTTGGTCCACCCACATCTTATTTTTTTAAATCTATTCCTAATAGCGGCCCGCTCTGGCTCCGCTCGGGTCTTTAACAAAAATTTAAATTATATTTGACGTTGTTTTATTTTTTAAAATAAAAGAACACTTATTGGAGCATAACTATAATAGTTTCACATATGCCGTCACGACACTTTTTGTAAATAATAACGTGTTCTGCAAAGTCGTGGTACATTATTTTATTCTATCATCAATAGTTTTCGCAGGGCACGCGATGTGCAGAATATTTTAGGTAATTTTTTTTCACTTTGGATTATTGGAGTTTTAGTCAGGATCCCTAATTTTTTTCAAAAAAGATTTATAACCTATGTCACTCGAGAATAGTGTAGCTTTCAAACAGTGAGAGATTTTTTCAAATCGGTTCAGTAGTTTCGGAGCCTATTCAATAAAAACAAATCTTTCCTCTTTATAATATTAGTATAGATTAGTACCCGGCGTACTGGTAGGAATTGATATCAATTTGCGCAGGTTCAATTTCAAGGACGACTCATAATTTCATCTGCCCAACTTTAATAGAAAAACTTGAGAGATGCTTTGTTACTGTCTAGAAAAGGTGACTTTCAACTTAAGGCACACATTAGGATACTGAACTAACGACCCACATTGGCTTCGTAGCATACTTTACAGCATATTTTCTTTACTCTGCCCTGTCCTTGTACAGGACGAGTGAATTTATAATTGTGCTTCTTCTGAATGTTTCGTAATTGAGAGAAAAATATAAGTAAATTCGTACAAATTTACAATTTTAAAAAATTGGATGCAAAATAATGTACCTATAAGTATTTTATATCTGCGATGTTTATAGATAAATAGGAAATAAGCTTGACAGGAATTTAATGATGGAGGGAAGACCTTCCACCGAGCGGGTGATATTGCTCGGTAGAACTACTGCCCGATTTCTTTTTTTTTCCTAGCCTTGAGAGGCTATTTCAACTTCATCCTAGCGTGTGGGTAAGCTCTCGGGGCTCAAACCGGAAGTGTTGCTAATACTCGCCCTAGTAAGAGCAGTGCTTCGCAGAATATACCACCGGATCGGAAACGCGACCCACTGAGAAGATCCGGCAAGAAACTCAGTGGGCTGTGTCTATGGGTTAATTCACTCGTCGAGCCCTTCGTCGCAAGCAACGGGTTAGGTAAGGACGGTGACCGGTGCTTGAGGTACCTAAAAGCACCGTTAATAGATCGGGAGGATCCGTAATGACGTGTTTAGGGCGACGTCGACTGTTTACCATTCGGTCCACAGGATCGGGTATCTAATTTTCGGCGGCCACGACAAGAGGGATTTTGTGTGCCGCCTTCTCAAAGTGGCGCAATGATGCCGATATACTTACCTACCGGTTGAAGGTGGATGATGCGATGCCACCAACACAAGTGACATAGTTCGCTTATTTTGAAAAACAATGACGCGAATTAACTGGTGTTTTGTTATATTCATTGATTGCATTGGTAGGTAGGAGAACCATTCTGCTTATTATTTACAATACAATAGTAACATTGGTTTTATGTCTTAGGCGGTATTCGTACTGTGACAATGGCTCCTGGTAACCACTTAACATCAGATGGATCATGAGTTCGTCTGCATATGCATCTATAGTAGTAAAAATGGACCACTGCTGGATAAATATCAGCTGACATCGTTCCGAATGTTGTTGTCCGAAAATGTCGTAAGCGAGATTCAGGCATCTATCAAATATCTTGTGCTCTGTGATAGCTAGTAGCCACAAGCTTATCTGAGCAAATGTAATGATAAATGATAAGATAAATGATAAGAAGCCCTTAGCTTACGTGATACAAAATTTCGTAATTAAAATTTGTTTATTGTGTGAATGATCATTTCAAAATTTTTCTGGATTTTCGTAGCTCGCAGTTCACTGCTACTGATAACGCTCAAATCAGATCCTGATCAATTTCTAAGGGATTACGGGTGTTAAGAACACATTTCCACCAAACCCAAAGAGCTGGTGGTTTTAAGGCATTGTTTTATTTTAAACAAAGAAAAGGATCATATGAAACAAATTTTCTTTTTCAAGATCAATATCTATCAACACTCAATTTTCGGTATTTTTCGTACATGTATTTCCAGAGTCGATAAGCCTCCGGGCTTGGTATTGTACCCATCGACAAATCATCCTCTATGTATAGAAACTTTAGATCATTTCTTTTGCTGGGAACCCATTTAATTGGTAGATCACTTGCATCTTCTGGTGTAGGATCTCTGAAAACAAAGAATCATTAGATGAAAAAAATACGAAACATTTCAAATAATTTTATATAACTACTATTGCACGTTAGTAGGTTAGCTGCAAACAAGAACATTACAGTCAAGTATTTATAAAATTGGTAATAAAAATGAGTTGAATACAAAATCTTAAACGTAATGTTACTACCATTAGAACACTTTTTTATTACACATTTCAGTGAACGAATAGAACAGTATATTAGGGGGCCTCTAATTCAGTCAGTATAATGTGTTCCGTAATAATTTACCATAAAGCTACTGCATAATTACGCACCTAAATTCATATGATTTATGTAATTTATTGAAACGACATATAAGTGAATGGTAGTCGTTAATTAACATCATATTTGCTCTAACACTTTTATTAATTATAATATGGGACTATATTATTATGGTCATTTTACATGCGCGATGTAAATAAAATGTAAATAAGTGAAAAAAAATCTTGTTTTACCCTGATGTACTCTGACAAAAAATATAAACATACACACCCATATTTAGCAAAATTAGACCACAGCTTTGTCATCCAATCAATCATTTTCTTGTCTTTTCTACTAATGGGAAATGGCCACAGATCTCCTCGGAACAAGTACAGTAATTCATCTCCATGACAAGCTCCGGTCTCATTTTTGAACCCTGTAAGGTACTTTAAGAAATTTCTACCACCGCTATAATTGAAATAATAATTGAAAACTGCAACATCAGCTGTTGTGCTTAATGTTATCTCTGACTCTAAAATTGGCGGTATCTCAAAGTATAAGTGACTCATTAGATCAGATATATTCATAATATTATTCATACTCATTCTTTGACCATTAAAGTATAATTGTCTAGCTTTATTGTCCTCCTTTTCAGCTTCTTCCTCGGTTTGGAATTCTAAATCTGAAGCAAATAAATATTTAGAATCTCTCTCAGATACTGTTTCTTCATTGTCTTTCGATATTATAAGCAATCCTTCTTTGCTAGTGGAACCGTACATTACAGGGATTTTCTTCGGTTTTTTCGTTAGTAAATTATATGGTAAATCAGTTAAGGCTGGTTCAACATCTGGTATATTTTTTTCGATACACGGCAAATGCAATAGTTGGGTGTCTAAATATTTCCCCAAAGGTTTCTCAGGTTTAGCTCTTACTAATTCTTTAAAGGGTATTTTAGAGAATATTTCATATAGCTCATTCGGATTATCAGTATTGTATCCTAGCTCTTTAGCTACAAGACTTGCAATCCAGATTGGCTGACGATTAATCGCCCAACTAGATATTGCAGAACCACTCATAACGATAGCCTTTTTAAAGAGCCCACTAGTAGCTTCGCTGGCCAATAGCAGTGAGACAGATGTTCCTCCAGCACTCTGTCCGAAAAGAGTTATATTCTCAACATCCCCACCAAAAGCTGCGATATTCTTCTTGACCCATCTTAAAGCTGCTATCTGGTCTTTAAGTCCAGCGTTTCCTGGAGCGTCTTTAATACCCAAGCACATAAAGCCTAAAGCTCCAAGTCTGTAGTTAAATGTCACTAAAATTACATCATGTTTGACTAGGAAATCCGGAGCGTATAACAGTTTACCACCACTTCCGAGCACAAATGCTCCACCGTGAACATAGACCATTACTGGTAGTGGTTTTCTCGCTAAAGCGGGTATGTACACGTTTATAGTTAAACAGTCTTCTGAACCAATAATCCCAATAATCGATGCTTGCGGACACATAGATGTTTCTTCGACTGCTTTGAAAACTCCATTCCATGATGGTGGCGGCAATGGCGCCTGTGAATATACATATCTTTTTTTTACTTCACAAGTAAATTGCTATTTATTTTAAGGTGCAATGGCAGTGAGCTGATATTTATCCAGCAGTGGTCCATTTTTACTACTGTAGATACAGACGCAAACGAACTCGTGATCCACTTATTTGTACCCGGAAGTAATTGTAAGCTTAGAAATGAAATGAAATGACAGGCTTTTTAAACATTAAACTCGTGTTTAGGTTAGACGGTAGATTACAGCTTGTTGTGAATTCCGGGAACCGCATAACATCTATACCTAGATAAAAATGACCAGAGAAATAGTATTTATTGAAAACATAATATTAAGCTTAGGTATATATTTTACATCGTTAAAATACCATTTTTTTTATAGTACACTGGTAGTACTTATATTTATTGGAATGACAGGGCCAAACCTATTTCACGACTAAACACTATCAACTATCAAGCCACAAGTTTGTTTACTTATTAATTTCCCCTCCAACCACGGCCATCTTGAAAGCATACAAAACTGACCTTGAACCTCGTATTAATGTTGCTAGTCGCATACGGTATACCGACGTATTCGAAAAACGACCCATCCGGGCTGATTTTACCGCTCAAAATGCCTTGTTCGATCACCACTTCGGGTGCCGGCTGATCAACTAAGTTGGTTAAAAATAGCGTAAACAATACAAGGTATTTCCTACGCTTCATTGTTATTATGTTTTATTTTATATTTTATAAAAGCACTTTTTCACTTTTGATTCATTTCATATCTTCACAGTTGAATCGGTAAGTCTGTTTCATAAATATCATAGTGTTGTTAAGAACTAGGTTATTTTTTATCACATGTCCAATATTATACACTATGAAGTAAACTTTTGCTTTAGGTCAATATTATTATTAAAATTGAAACGTTTTTAATTTTTATTTAGTCCGATACGTAAACGCGTCGACCTTCTACTGACGGCTTGACGAATGACAGCAGGAGACTCGAAGTTGAAAGAGATAAAAGATATATTTATAAGCTAGAGCGAGATAGATTATCAATTGTTATCAATTTGCATTAACGGTCCTTGAACGTTCTTTGAAAATTAAATATTTTAATGAAATAACAATCATTTATTTCGCTTTAGTTTAAATTTACTTTTTATAAGATTATAGACGCGAGTCAGAAGTGAGTTTTTTACGCTCCGGTGTCCTAAGTACTCAACACATTATTATGATGAGTTTTTGCTTACCCGTTCTCAGAGGAGTCAGAGGTACAAAAAAGGACCAAGAGTACCTTTTATTCAGAATGCCAGCTACTATTTTTAAGAGTGATATATATTTTTTCGGTTTAACTTATGAAGAAGAAAACAAATCAAAACAAATTCACGAACGAAGCTGTGTTCAAAAGGTAAACAAGCCATCCATAATTAATATAACTAGAGGTCCCACAGTAGTCGAAATTCGACTATAATTAATTGGAATTGTAAGTTTGTACACTATGATGATTGTATTTTATACTTCTATAATCACAAATTTCGCCAAGGCTACATTATAAAAAATATTAACAAAGACAAACAATATTTAAATCTATTCTCAATTTGACAACAGACGTCAAGAACAAAAGTTTGACATTAAATAGTATGCATGCGTGTGTGCGTCAAATACATGTCATGGTATGTAGTGTGTGTAATGTTTTCTTTATTGATTTAATGTATCTTTTATGCATTATTTTAAAAAAATATTAGAATTGTGCACTTCTTCTCTGTATTCTCTATAAGTGTGCAAAATTTCATACTCCTCCGTCCGCGCAATTTTCGTAAAAAGGGATACAAAGTTTTTGCTTCACGTATTAATATATAGATTATTTATGTGTAAACTGTTTCCGTGCTTGTTTGTTTGTCTGTCCTTCTTTCACGTTGAAACGAAGCAGCTCAACGGTTGACATGATTTTTTAAGTGATAGTTTTAGGATAAGAGAGTGACATAAGTTACCTTTTATCCCAAAAAACAACTCATTCCCACGGGAAATTATGTAACAGCTAGTAATAAAATAAATATTATTATGATTGTCATGTGTTTTATAAGCGCTCACTACACAGTGTTTGTAGTACGTGTCATGAACTTCAAAGTATGGAGTTAGCTGTCACACTTTTTTTTCTTATCTATGCTGATGGCCTTGAGAGGCTATTTCAGCTTCTCCTTGAGGTGTACGTGAACTCACGGGATTCAAACCGGAACTGTTGCTATCACTGGCCCTAGCAAGAGTAGTGCTTCGCAGAATCTACCACCGGATCGGAAACGCGACCCACTGAAAAGATTCCGCGAGAAACTCAGTGGGCTGTGTCTATGGGTTAATTCACTCGTCGAGCCCTGCGTCGCGAGCGACAGGTTCGACGAGGACGGTGACCGGTTGTCACACAGCTATATTATACATACTATATAGTGGTCCGCAGAGACTCTTAAAGCACTCAGCGACGCAGGAATAGATGTACTGCATAAAATCTGCAATCATATCTGGCAGAATGGTGAATGGCCGGATGATTGGAAGAGCTCCATAATACTGCCTCTACACAAAAAAGGATCCACGAAAGACTGTAACAACTATCGAACCCTTGCTCTTATCTTACATGCAAGTAAAATCCTGCTGCATATTATCAATTCCAGAATCCGACACTTTCTGGATTGGCAAATCCCTCAGGAACAGGCTGGTTTTGTCAAAGGCAGAGGTACTCGAGAGCAGATCCTAAACATCCGACAATTAATAGAAAGATGCTACGAATTCGATACACCTGTTATCCTTTGCTTCGTTGACTACAGCAAGGCGTTTGACTGCGTTGGCTGGAACTGCTTATGGCGGGTTTATAGCTCTTCTCCAATCCCTTTACTATGGCAGTCAGGGCACTGTAAGGGTCGACAACACTATGTCAAACCGTTTTAATTTCAGAAGAGGAGTTCGCCAGGGGTGTAGTCTGTCACCCATTCTATTTAATATATACGGCGAATACATCATGCGCAAGACCCTAGAAAACTGGGATGGAGGCATAACCATAGGTGGTGTCAAAGTGACGAACCTGCGCTACGCAGATGACATCACTCTGCTTACCACAACAGAAGCAGAGATGACAGAGCTTCTGAACAGGATGGAGCAGATAGGGTTGGATATGGGACTCGCCATCAACAGATCCAAAACTAAAATCATGGTCGTTGATCGCACAAAAAAGTTGGAGCTTAGTGGAACACTAAACCTTGAGCTTGTTGACAACTTTATTTACCTAGGCTCCAACATTAACAATACTGGATCCAGCGAACTTGAAATACGACGGCGTATTGGAATGGCAAAGGGAGCTATGACCCAGCTCGGTAAAATCTGGAAGGACCATAACATTACCCAGAAAACAAAGACAAAACTGGTGCTCACTCTGGTCTTTTCCATTTTTATATACGGAGCGGAGACCTGGACCCTTAAAGCAGCTGATCGCAAACGCGTGGATGCTTTTGAGATGTGGTGCTGGAGAAGAATGCTCCGGATACCTTGGACAGCGAAGAGAAGCAATCAGTCTATCTTAGATCAACTGCAGATCAAGACTAGACTGTCCACACTCTGCCTTCGCCGCGCACTCGAGTACTTCGGTCATATTGCTCGGAAAACACCGGATAGCTTAGAAAGACTATTCGTGATAGGGAAGATCGAGGGAAAGAGACCGCGCGGGCGCAGTCCGACAAGATGGTTCGACCAAATCTGCACCACACTAGAGATCCCATTCCACGACGCCCTTCATGCGGCCAATGATCGGAGGCGCTGGCGGGACATCACAAGGAGTAAAATCATGTCGAATTATAATGGTCACGACCCTCAGCAGTGAGGAAACGACGCGAGGAGGATATAGTGGTCCCCCAATAGTGGAAATTCGACTATAATTAATAGAAATTATAAGTTTAAACATTATTATGGTTCTATTGTCAAAGACTATTATACTTCTATAATCACAGTTTTCACCAAGACTACATACATAACACTATAGAAAAAGTATATTAAAGACAAACAATATTAATGTATTCTCAATTTGACCACAGACTTTAACAATAAACAAAAGAGTATTTAAGCGTGTGTGTTTCAAATACATGGTAGTGTGCATATTGCTTTTTTTTATTGATTTAAACTACTTTTTATGCATAATTAAAAATATATATATCTGTTGTCCAGCAGCTGTGTTTCGGTAAATTTTCGTAAAAACTTGTACAAAGGTTTTATTTCTTCAGAAAGCAAGTGTTGGTATAGTATTTTTGTCGCCATATTGAATGTAGCCATAATTGCGCAAAATAGTGCGTTATTTGTCCTATCCAAATTCGAAATACTTTACAGCTTCATTGATTTATTGGTTATCTTTCAAATGAAAACAACGTGACTGTATGTGGGTGTAATCACCACGCAATCACTCCGCTGAATTAGAGATACGAGTCAGAAGTTGGAGCAGAATTTGGATAATGATGGCGCAATCTGAAGATTGGCACCATTCGGAAACACATGAAGTCAGCGTCAGAAAGGTACTTCCAGTCAGAACGGGACGGTCGACGTCCTAGACACGTCCTTACGGATCCAACAGATCCTTTGAAATAGACGCCTTCAGCTCTAACACTAGGAGCAAGCTTAGGGACCCCGGTAACCGCACTCGTGCAACCTAACCCATGCACCAGCTCGCTGAGTTTCTCACCAGATCTTCTCAGCGGGTCGCGATTCCGATCCGGTAGTAGATTAATTCGCGAAGCAGCTGCTTCTGAGTTGTTAGGTCTCCTTCGAAGGTGCTCGGGCAGCTGTTAGCAAGTCTCACCCCTCCTGGCTGAGCATTTGCTTGCCCATCTGTCCTGGCGAAACTAGAAAGGCGATTGGGCCACCAGTAATCGCTCATTCAAAAAAAAAACATTGGCGGACTGAGAGCACCAAACCTGGAAGCTGACGGGCGTTTTTTTTATTAAATTTCTTAGATGGGTGGATTAAGTGGTTATTGGAGCCCATAGACATTAATAACGTAAATTCCGCCACCCACCTTGAAACATGAGTTCAAAGTTTCCTTTTTAACAGTACAACAGCTACGCCACCCTTTAAACCGAAACGCATTACTGCTTCACAGCAAAAATAGGCTGGGTGGTGGTACCTACCCATGCGGCCTCACAAGACGTCCTATCAACAGTAATTATGCAAATTATAATTCTGAGGGTTTGATTTTTGTTATGTGATTTTATTCCTTCACCACGGAAGTCATTCGTGAACATTTTTTAAGTACGTATTTCATTAGAAACATTGGCTTGAGGGATTCGAACATAGTTGGATCGCTTGATACAAATGCACCGGGCGTGTTATCTTTTAGGCCACGACGACTTATCGCGTATCAAAAGCAAATATAAAAGTTTCGATAATTTCTAAAATCCAACTGTAGTAGTACTATATTATTATATACCTATTTAAAATTATTTACGTATCCCGGTATCCTCGGTATCCCGTTCTTGCAGCTACCAGATAATTTTAAATTCAAACTTAGTCCCGTGGTCGAAGGCCGGTCACGCCCGGAACGGGTTAAAATTCAACCGTTCTTTTACCCTAATTTATTCAAATAAATTTTCGACACGGCACGCGATTGTAGCGGGCCAGTTTCTGTTCTAAATGGTATTATTTCGTCGTTACATGGTAATTTGGGCATGAGGGAAAAGGATAGTCATTTTCAGAAGCGAAGCACCTATCTTACAAACTAAAAATGCTCTACTCATTTTGTCTTTATTTTAAGTTAATTCAGTCGTTTAAATATGCTCCAAGATAATTTTAGGTGATTTTATTCTACGTTATTGTTATAATTATAGTAAATAATGGAATAATGTAAACAAAATATTTATAGTAAAATTGTATTTATCTTAAATGTTTTTGTAAGTTTATTTTAAACTAGGTGATATTTTTAGTTTGTAGGAGGTCAACGGCTT